GTCGTCCTTTAGTTTTAGATAAAAATAAAAGATATATTGTTGGATTAGACTAATAAATTCAATGACTTACTCTTGGCATAATATAAGTGATGAATATGATAATAAGAGAATTCGCTATAATCAATGGTAAGGAATGGAAAGACATTTTCTTTACAATGGTTCTTATTCTTACACAGATATCAATAATTACATAAGAGAAACATTAATAAGTAATAATGATTTCGATGTTGATTCTGCCATAGCACCTATAAGTTTAGAAATTTTGATTTGAGTAGTTTTTAAATTCTAATATCACTAATGGATAATTTTTCATTAGATTTTACACTGTCAGAATTTTGTAAACTCTTGGTTTAAAAAAAAAAAGTAAATAAAACTAGAATGGGAGCTTTAACACCAAATATAACCTAATTCTGTGGATACAATTTATATACATTGTGATCTGATTGATAATTCATTTGTTGATGGAGAAATTTGGTGATGTGATATAGCATTGAGTACCTGCGGATTTAACAAGAGCTTATGCCTTTTACAAAAGAACCTATTAGGGTGGTTATTCTGAAAATTAATAGAAATATTATAAATTCTGAATAAATATATATTTACAGATGTGTTTTGGTAGAAAATTCAATTTTAGATGAAGTAGAAACAAGTTTTACATTAATTATAAAAGAAATGTAAATTTATAATGCATCAAAAAAGTATATGATGAAAATAGTGGAGCTATATATTATTCATGTTGTGTATTGGACGGGAAGAAGGTACTCCTCGCGTGCTAGGGAGGTTTCTTTGACACTTTATTTTTTTCTGTAGGTAAAAAAAAGTATTAGAACTGTAGGTAAAACTGCTATTGAAAGTGGCGCCAAAAAGGTGGGAACTGAAGTCGGAAATTTAGCTGCTGATAAAATAACAGGTGTATTAAAAAGAAGAAACAACCTCCGCCAGTTGGCGATAAAATGTAAAAGAATTAAGAAGAAGGATACTGAGGACATAAATTTACAATAAATGAATTGTTATCTGGATCAGGAAGACGAGATATATTAATTTACAAATAAATGAATTGTTATCCGGAAGGCGATTATTTAAAAAAGATATATAATATTATGTTTCGATCAAACAATACTGTAGAAAGATATGAAAAAATTACACCTATTCGATTAGATACAGCTTTAATAACAATCCTGGACAATAAAGTCACCCAGCAGAAAAATGATATTGTTTTACTATAAATGATAGATCTTCATATATGATTGGTTCAATGGGTATGTTTGAGTATTTTAAAATATAATACTGGCAAACGGAGTTAATTATGATCGGTGCGATCAAATTGGCTGTATATAAACATGCAGCCATTAATTGAATTAGTTATAAAACAAATGGAAGATGTATATGATTGTTAAATATATAGGGTTGTGAATGTAGAAATGTAGTTGAATTAAAAAGATGGCAGAAAACACTGGGAAATGATTAATTGATTGATCTACAAATGAGCTGAATATAGAGCTAATCAGGCTGATTAATAATATTGTTTGCTGCAGAGAATTTTAGCTCAGGAGGTAATGAAATAAATGTAAAATTCGTTTTCTCTAAACAACTTATTCATTTTTTCGGAGTTTAAGAAATATGCTGCACCTAGCTCTAAATTCAAATTACATCCATTAACAAGACGACGAGATTAATCCAGTAGGGAGCTGGAGTTATAATGGAAGAGTTATAGTACTACAAATTATATTATGGGTTCTCGGTTAATCTAAGCTGAAGGATATAGTTTGATTTCTGAACATTGATTTGATAAGCAAAAAAGTGAACGTATCTTCGAGAAATGGTCACACAATCACTGAAAATAGGACAAGGGCAATATTATATTTTAGTAATAACAGCTGGTGTAATGAATCTAAACTGATGTGTTTTTGTTTTTTACAAAGAGCTTAATGAAAAGTAATTCACAGAGACAAAACCCTCATTTATTTAGATACTTTAAAGTACATGCAATAAAGCAATTGTACTTTGCATCTTGGTACGTCTTGAATGGAACATGGTGTTTTATTACCCCGACAGAATATTCTAGTAATAGAGATTTATGACGATTGTAATAAGATTTATTTATCTACAAACAAAATGATAAAATAACTGGTCCCTTTTAGAAATATAGTCAACATTGAGGGTTGTTTTGGATATTCATTTTACTGGAATTACCAAAGAGAAATTGCATCTGATCCAAGCAGTTGTACATTAGATGCAAATTAAATGTACGCCAGCTGCAGCTATTTGGTGTCATGCATTGTAATGTATGAAAGACAGGTCAATGAATTTACTATTGGAAATGCACAATTGTTATTTTAAGAAGACGTCTTTGATGAAAAAAGAATAATTATATAAATTTATAAATGTCTTACGTTGAATTATAACTAATATCAGAGGAAAAGACAAACTTCGAATCATTAGAGATAAATGCCCCTATACTGTTAAGATTGAATTATGAAGATTTACATGGTACTACAATCTTTTAACACTACAAACCCCCCCCGACTCGAACAAATAAATAATTGAATAAGGGCTAACCAGAATAAACTGGCTTAGAAATTAAGATATCGCGGGAACAAATGCGCAGTCAAGGCGGTTTCTAGTACACTTTAATTCCGTTTATTACAAAATTGGCTCCAAAAATATTAGCCCTTTAGGTGTTGGAGCATTAAGTGGTTTGGCTAGCACTGGTGTAAGTAGAAATACTTGGAAACGGTATGGTATCTTAGCAAGAAATAAAAAGAAATAAAATATTACCATTTATTACACCCCAGCAAAGAAAACAATTAATGAATGACGGGGTAATTAAGTTAAATAACAAGCAACGGCAAGATGGTGGTTTCCTTGGTATGTTAGCAGCATCTCTAGGAATACCTTTAATTACATCATTATTAAGTGTGCAAGGGTTACAGGTTGATGCACAACGAGTTCCATATAGACGAATTCCCAGGGTAGAAAAAAAAATAAATTCCTGAACAAACCATTATCTAACTTTGAAATAGAACAATGGGTAAAAAAACTTGGTATTCAAAACTTTCAAGCGTCTTCAGTAGAAATAATTTACCTTCTAATAGTAAAGAATGCGGGATAATAAATTTTAGATGACTTTATTGGACGGGGTACACACATTGGGTGTGTTATTACAGAAATAATTACTTCGACCTTTCGGACTTCCTCACCAAAAGAGGTAATCAGTTACATTCCAGGTTGAATTATAACAATATACAGTATCAATATAAACAAGTGTGCTGTGTGGTTATTATGTTTATATTTCATACATTTATTACAACAGAAAGTGTCTTTATATGATATATTATACAACATTTAAACATCAATAATCAAAAGAAAATGAACAAACAATATAACTATTTCACTAATGTTTAAAATAGTCTGCCGACACCCGTCGGTTTGCGACTCTACAAAAAGTTTTCCAATATCCAACACAGCGAATGGTAAAATCAGCCTGCCGACACTCGTCGTTTTGCGCCTCTACAAAAAGTTTTCCAATACAGAACCTTCCCTTACAAGAGCTTTTAGGCTCGTCGGTTCCCTACAAGTTTTCAATATTCACACAGGCGAATGGTAAAATCAGTCTGCCGACACTCGTCGGTTTGCGACTCTTATTCCACGGATATTCAATTACCATTTCAATTCATCAAATATCCGTGGAATAACACTCCAATGCTTTTGTAGAAAATGCAATGACAATGAATTATATCAGAATGATTGAGTGAAAACTTGTACAATTTAATCAAAAAATTACAGTGTGAAATTTTATATGTTATACCATTTTCTTTAATTTTGTTAAAAAATCACTTTTCAAAATCCTTGATTTTTTTTAAAACACTCTCCTTTTTGAATGTTATATAGCAACTTTGTTCTTCCAGCACTTGCCTGTCTAGTGTTTTAAAACAGCTGTCGGTGTTTTCAAGCTCAAAGTAACCTCTCATCTAAGTTCCGATATCGCAATTGTTCAGCCCTAAAATAAAACAAAAATTTAATGATTAACGAAAGAATTCATAGATAAAAGAATAAATAATTCATTTACTATATTCGTTAAAGAAAATGGTAAAACAACTTACATTCTGTCTAACCACTCTGTATTCCTGGCTGATGAAATAATGACAACGCTTTAACTAGGCGAATGTTCTGGATGACGTTTCACTATTGATCTTTAGCGAAAAACTGTCCACGTGATACGGAACGACATATTGATTTATAGGCTGCAACTATTTAAAAGTTGGTTCCGATAAAATTTTTTTACTCATGATTAACGCCGTTTACAAACTTAGATTTCAATTACGCGCTGAACACACGAAAGGCTTATCATCTAACGTCGTTGTGTTGTACTATTGAGGATTCTATCGGTGTATTGTTCGTTTTTTAACATATATATTTGTTTGAAACTCATTTATATATCTTTTAATTATAAAAAGGACCTCGTCGGTTCCCGCCTGCCTTATAGTATGCATTTAGAGTATATAGAGTATGATGGTTCGGTTTTGGTGCCTGAGGTGCTCTTAAATAATAAATGGGGTTTATGTGAGCTGTTTACTTTTGGGTGATGGGTAAAGCTTGTCTAGCTGTCTTTACCTTTGGTTTTGATGATAAAACTTTTAGGCTTCAGATGTCCCGAACATCATCCTCTATACACTGAGTAGTGTGCGATCAAGAAAAACCAGAGAAAAGTTAAATGCGAGATGCTATCAAGATAAGGTGTTTAATCATGTTGCATAAGAATAGTTTGCATTTCAACGACAATGGGCTAAAATGAATATGTATAAACAAATGACTATACTTTTTATAGAGATCTGAATGCGTTTGTGAAAACTAATAATTATGTTAAAACTATACAATATCGTTCAACTATTTAATTATTTTATCGCATCATTTAGATACATCAGTGCAGGATCAGTATGGAAATATCTTAACAAATCACATGACTTTCTTATATAGAATATGTATACATGTACACATACCTTTCTGTATTTTAACTTGATATCAGTAAAAACCTTTGGAAGATATAATGTTTTTCCTAAAACTCGCCTCGACAAAACATAGTTGACGATAACTCTGGAAAGAAAATATGACACAAAAAATAATTATATACATATGAAAAGATTATATATTATACATATTTTATGCACGTTAATTCATGCTTGTTGATAATAGAAAAGAAAGTTAGAACCCGATATTTCAGTTTGATATATTAAAGTTACCTTTACCATTATGATAAATTTATTACTTAAATTTCATGTATCTAAAGCATATGTAACGTGCACGGGCTAGCTGCTATATATATATATATATATATATATATATATATATAATTTTTCTTATGGCTACTTTGCCAGTTGATTGGTTACAAATGATTAAGACAATGATTTGTTCAAACTTTGGAATCAAGTTCAATTAAAGATCGTTTATAACAGTAACGTGCCTTTATAGTTAATATGTTTCACTTGAACTTTATATAAAATTGGGGTGACACTTTTAATGCTGTTCAATAAATATAATAACCACTTGGATATCGAGTTTTCAATACTTTAGTAATAACAATTACACCTAACGCAATGTTAAATTGATGCAATTGAACTACTTCGTAAATAGTGCAAGATTCCAAGTAATTAATCTAAAATAAATATTAAATAATTATTTCTGTGATGTTGACACTTTGGCAGCTTGGCAGAGACTGATTATCCGCAGCTTTGAGCTCTATTTATTCCCAATTATGTAGTTATATTTAATGATCGTCTACTGAAGTTGAAGAAATCAAGCATCCAAGAGATACTAATAATGAGTCGAATATTGGTACGAATTGCATTGAGTTCGTATAATTTTAAGGACGAATTGTTCTGATGTTTTAGAAATAATAAAAATATGCCCGTTATATCAAATAATGGTTATGTATAAATTGTTTAATCTAATCAGGTATTATTTATGTATTTTTTACTTATTTATTAAAATTTAAACTATCCATTTAAACGCAAGATTACATATTTGTTATCGGCAATTTAGGTATAAAACCACTAAATATCATAAATGAATCTAGGAAAAAGAGAACAATCGTCACACATATATCAATTCTCATTTGTTATGAAGAGTAATGCATAATATTATGTAATGCACCAATGCATTCTATTACAATTACATGTAATTCAAAGCAGCAAAACATCTTTGCGTTACACATTACATGAAATTACTGAGGAAAATGTAATGCATTTCAATACAAAACAATATAATTTCTTTTTTTCAAAACCTAATGTCTGTAAATACAGGAGATATACAATATACTGGAATCATTTTGCCATATTTTTGTGTTAATTGATATGTTGTTACTAAGATTCATGCAATATTTTCTGTTGAAAAATAAAAAGACTCTGTAAACGTAAATCATTTTTATGTAGTTACGACCTGAATTGTTTTGAAGTCCGCCTGCTAAGCTAAATAGAAAAAGTATTGGGTTAGAAATCAAAGGATGCTGATTCGATCCCCGGGCAAGGCATTATTTATCCATGACAACTGACCTCAGACAATTATTTCGTCCTATGGTCATTTGTCTGTAACCTCTGATTCAGATATTATGCGAGATTAATTGCCGGTTAATTTGCGGAGAATTTGGTTATTACTGGCTAATTATCCACGAAAACTGGTTAGGTGGAGCGACCGCCGATGTAGAAAAACTAATATATACAATTGTAGTCATGATATCATAACGGTTTACTTTGTAAACTTAAAGTGTCTTAAATCATATCGGACCAATTTTATTTCTTAAATATAAATATCTTTAATGTTTTACCGGGATGAATATTTAGTTAGAAGATCTCCAATCTTCTCTAAGAACGGTGGGGCTATGGCAAGAACAGGTTCAGAATCGTCAATAGATAAGCCAATAATCTGCATGGTTCCCTTGACAAGTTTCTTCCAGTCTACCTGTGATCATATAAACATTTTATAAATCTTACAAAAGCCATTTCTGAATTATTTTTGAGCTAATAATCGTATTTGTTTCTTTACCCTTTAGTGACACATACGTCAAAAAGTAGCATAGTGATCCAGGCTTTGTTTTATAGATATGTTTCAATTGTGACTCTCTTTAATCTATAGCGTTTAAGAAAATTCTCCGCATTTTCCTACTTTGTCTATGTGAAAATGACGTTACTGTATGAAAGACCAAACCTAAGTATTCAATGTTTCTACTCAATAACTTAATGTAACAGAGAAATATTTGCGACAATCTTATCATAACAGTAAAAAATATTTCTAATCAATTGTGTTGTAACACTTACTCCAGTGAAATTATTACTTAATTCTCCGAGGGTCATTTTGTTGTAAAGTTTCTCGGGATCTCTCCTCTCTTCTTTAGGCACAGTTATCTGAATTTGGAAATCAACCATTATATTTCAGATCTTATGTCAATTAATACATTCCATGATTTCATAGAATACACCGCCGAATTTATTTCTATATATCTGGATATCGTAATATCCGAGTGGCAACTAGTGTGAAAACCGAGGCAACAGCATTGTAATTAGCGGTATATCGTAATAAGCGGTATATCGTTATAAGCGATATATCGTTATAAGCGGAGTTTACTCTACAATATGATTACAATTGTCCATGTAAAATATTTACATTATTTTTTTTGAAACATTTATTTAGTTACATATAAATCATAAAGATACTATACATCAGCTCTAAAACATTCTTTCGAGGTTATTCACTATCTGTTCTTACGTTTGCAAGTTCAATTTCTATGTCGACAATGTCCTTTGCGTCATTTGCCGCGGTGATCTCGTCAGCGCCAAAGGCAACAGCACTTTCTTGTATCATTGTCTGATAAGCCATCAATGTTTTATCATCTCTCCCCTTTAAATAATAGTCTCGGCTGGGCATACCGAGATCTGGCTGATCAATCTAAATATAAATAATTAGTCAGTTAATATCCATTGTTCCTCAAAAAAAAATTATTTCTCAAAAACAGTTTTTGTACCATTGTTTTGGGACCTTTCCGTTAAAAATGTGTCATAGTTAAATCGTAAACATACAGATGCACAGTTCGTAAACTGGAGTACAGTTATTAGTTACCCGCACTCCAAAGCATGCTCATTTATTGGCTCATTTGTTCTGGGTACTTACTGTGACGACAGAGACAGGGACAGCGATAGAAAAATCATATTCAGATGACCGCTTATTGGTTTCTTATATCTGGGGTTTCATATTGTGACAACAGGGAACATGTTTTTAATTTTGCCTATGATACAAAAGAAGAAGAACATCAACACACTTGGCAATCTGATTTATACTCGGGAGCTACGCCCTCTTGTTCAAAGATAACCTCGTGTTTCGATGCCCTTTCTATTACTTTTTAAAGCACAGACTTTCTTTGTATTGATAATATTCTTTAACTTTTTATTAATAAAGACTAAGTTATTAATAAGAATCTTTGTAAATTAAGAATAAGAAATTAATAAGAATTCTCTAAATTACATTTTATATAAAAATCGTACTCACATAAAGTATATGCTTCGTGGGATGTTTGTCGTCCTGTGTTACACCTACATCAATCAGAGGCAAGTAATTATTTCCCCTTCCTAGAGAAGGTAAATTTTCTAGGTTAAATTCTAGAACTCCATTTTTCCTCCGGTTTTGACCAAAATTTGGCCAACCACCAACCCTTTCATGTACTGTTGAATGTATGTCAAGCCAAGCTCTTCGATTTTATCTACAAAATAAATGAAATAATTTTTTTTAAAACTAATTTATTTTTTTCAACCTTTAAACCCCTAAATACGAGATTTCATTTTAGGCTACAAAAGCATGTAAATACAAACCTCTGCTTATAACGATATCGCTTTAAAAAAAGTACCCTTATTACGATGTAAATTTTTTAAAAAAACCCCTTATAAAATTGCTGTTGTCGGGGTTTTTAAAATTGGGTTTCCTAACGAATATAACAAAAAATTTTGGTGCCTTCCGAATATCGTTTTAAGCGGAGTTTACTGTAATTCAAAGTAAAAAGTCAGTATTATTCTTAACTCTCAATCATATATCATGTATTTGTGAGATTAATTTCTATATTTAGTAGTTGGTACAGACGAAAGTACACTGAACGTAATCAGCACAACGGAACGTTTTGCGAGTGTTTTTTTTTAACCTATACATACGTTGAAAATGGAATAAAATTCTTTGGTATTTCAGTCAAATTCTAAATATCATTAATTTATTTTGAAAAATAAATATATTGTCCTCATTGACATCATTTCAAAACTTGCAAACATGCCAGAAACCTTATGTCATTAAGTTGATTTGTTTCAAGGAAAATGCTATGTTTGTGATATTAATTGCTTTTTCACATACCTTCATTTACACAGGCTTTGTAATAATTTCTTGATTTCTTAATAGCTTCTGCATCATCTGCCTTATTTGAAGCCTCTAGAACAGCTGCAAGAACAATAAAGCATGACTTAAATTATTTACACATACAAGTATGCTGTTTTAGCACTACATATAGTCACGACCTTGTAAATGCCCCAAAAATTTTTTTCATTT